ATGTAACTGTAAGTTTTACGCTGGTTCTTCTCACGCACTGGTCGCTTTTGGAACTCTCTTCCCGGCTTCACGCTTTCCAGCCAAGTTTGATCTCCCAAAATTTTAGTTTAATGTTAAAAATTTAAATACAATTGTAAAATTCTAAAATGCAATATGAGGCATTATCTAGTGTATTCTTGATTACTCTTCTATTGTCGTAGCTCTTTTAGAATGTTGCTATTTTGTCTTACTCTTTCAAACTCAGTAATGTCTTGTGTCTTAGTGACGTTACTACATTAGGGTGACCACATTTTTTTTAAAGAAACTGAAGAGGAAATGTAGTTTGACACTCATCGGACATATTGAAAGCAGAAAGAGCAGACGAAAACGGAACGAATCCTGAGAATGTATGATTGGATAACAAAGCAAAGATAATGAATTATGGTAAATATTCAATCCTTTGTGCTATAAAGAAAAGGAAGATGTGACGAGCCATAGACAGTTTGTGGATAGATATAATTTATTGATAACATTATTTCTTCCTGAATTTCTGAGGTGAGGAGTTATCTTTATTTGCACTATTTACGTCATCGTTGTTGTTGACATTACAACGCTTCGGTCGTTGTCCCTTAGGGTCTATGTCGATATGGGTAAGCTACAAAGAATTCTGAACTAAAGATTGTATTTAATCTACGGAAGTATAATGTTCACGTTCAATGCCCATTTCTAGGAATATCTCGTTTAGTTTATTTATATATATATATATATATATATATATATATATATATATATATATATATATATATATATTGATCTGTCATTGTTCTGTTCTCACTGAGTCCAAATACACTCCGCCTAACCCTGCGATTAAAATCACAATTATTATGTCAGCAACTTATCCACTTAATCTAACAAATATTAACAAAATGAGATACATAGGAACAGACTGAGATAAATGTCTGGATTTTCGGCCACAACCATTTATCTCACTTTGTATATATATATATATATATATATATATATATATATATATATATATATATATATATATATATATATATATATGTCTCGTTTTTTTTTTTTTACGTGTTTATATATCTAAATATATCTGCATGTTTGTGTATTATAATCAGATCGTGTATGTTTCTCTTTTGCAACATTTCCCACTCCCCAACCCATATCGTCTATTCAAATGCATCTGTGTTGTAACGGAGTTTAGAACAGCATTAGATCTTAGCGTTTATTCCAACTTAATTTCAACAAAATAAATTAAAAAAACATATGTATTTCTTTCCTCAGTTTCTTCTTCAAATAATTTTATAATTAAAATACTGTTAATCCATTGAGTGATGTGATCCTCATTTATAAAACTGCTGTCTGTTGTTTCCAGTTTATATTTTTTTTAAATGCAAGTACTTTCGAATAATCCTTTATTCATCGCCAGGCATATGTTTTCTTTATAAAATCAAAAACTTGAAGACGAAATAATTGTTTGTCGACCGAAAAGATTTTTTTTTTTTGAGTATGTGCCATTATTGACGGTTTGTAAGATATCGGAACGTGCAAAGACGCAACGCTAGGTTTTTCAAAATTTTAAGTGAGAATTTTATTCGAACTTTTCTTGTGATGTGGTAAATCAACGTATTCTATTTTTACAAGTGTTTTCAGTTAATATGTCATGAACCAAGTATATAGTTCAAATAATATAGTATCTTACTAGTAGTTTTTTTTATAGGAATTTTTTTGTACTGCGGATCGATAGTTTTTATAAACATAAATGGATTAACAGTATTTTAATGCATACATTATACACTACTAGCGATGGATGTAGCAATGGATTTGCCATTGATTATTGCTGATTGATTCTATGTGTGATTATTTTTTTTGTATAATATATATATATATATATATATATATATATATATATATATATGTAAAATTTCAATCGTAAGCTTGTTACCTGATCTTAAGCTGGTATTTAGTGCTAGATATTGAATACACACGTTTCAGTGTGAGAATTATATCAATCGGCTTTTGCATTCAAGAGATTTAATAAAGGGAGATATATCCATATTTGTACGGGAAGCTACCATCTACACAGAGTGTTTTAGACCACTTGTTCACAGCCTAACAAACTTCAATTACGCATATAATGGAGGGTTGCATGCATGAAATCTGTTAGAAGACACTATTTTGTTTATTACTAGCCTAGAAGCGGCCCTTTAGGCTAGATCCTTCATAGAGCTTTTGCGCCTTCAGTCTTTTAGCTTAAGCGTCCTATGTACTAAAAATTATAAGAATTTAGAAATAATAAAAGGATTTTATTATTATCTGACACCTTAATTCGTCATAATCTTTCTTCGTATACGCAACAGATCTTCGTAGTTTGCATTTATTTTGGGCGCAATTTTTATTTTCTTTTAAACTCAGCATTCTTTATGACCCCTTCACATAAAGTCACTTTTAAAAGACATACAAGGGAAAATAAACTATGTAATATTTCAAATACAAATTAGGTGCGCGTGCAAGAAAAAGAAAAAAAAATATATGAGCAACGTACCGAGCTTGGCTTAAGTATTTAATTACGGTTTAATTAGACAATATCAATTGCAATTGCGACGAAAAGCGAAATTAAAGTTAAACCTTTAATAAAGAATTGTTTTTTAAACCTTTCACTCTGTTCGATGTATATATTTAACTCTAAATGAATAATTTATTAGAATACAGAATCTGTGTTACTATTTTATTATTTTACTAGGCTAGAAGCCGCCCTTCCGGCGGACATTCAGCTAGCTCCCGTGGAGGGCTTTTAGGCCTTCGGCGTTTTACCTTCAACGTCCTATGCACGTAATTCGGCATAATCTTTCTTCGTATACGCAGCCGATTTCCGTAGTTTGTTCTTCACATTTATTTTGCGTGCAATTTTTATCTTATTTCTAAATCCACATTCTTTATGATCCAATCATGCAGCGAAAAAACTATTTAAAAAAAAAAACATTAGGTAACCCGAACTAAGCAATATTTCGAATACGTCACAATCCGCGTGCTAGAGAAAAAGAAAATAAACAATATGAGCAACGTTCCTTGCCCAGCTGTAGTTTTAATTACGGTTTAATTAGACAATATCAATTGAAATTGCAATGAAAAGCGAAATTAAAGTTAAACCTTTAATAAAGAATTGTTTTTTAAACCTTTCACTCTGTCCGATGTTTATATTTAACTCTAAATGAATAATTTATTAGAATACAGAATTTGTACATTAGGTTAGCTCCTGTGGCGTTTTACCTACAACGTCCTATGTACGTAATTCAGCATAATCTTTTTTCGTATACGCAACCGATTTCCGTAGTTTGTTCACATTTATTTCAAACTCAGCATTCTTTATGATCGCTTCACATAAAGTCACTTTTAAAAGACATTAAGGAACCCGAACTAGGTAATATTTCGAAAACGTCACAGTAAATGTGCTCGAAAAAAAAACACATGAGCAATGCACTGTGCCGTGTTTTAATTACGGTTTAATTAAACAATATCAATTGCGACGAAAAGCGCGAAATTAAAGTTAAACCTTTCACTCTGGTCGATATTTAAATTTAACTTTAAATGAGTTATTTATTTAATTCTTAAACACATGTAACTACAGTAGTTACTAACTCGAAATGTCACAGTGGATAGAGGCGTTGGTTAGATCCAGTGACAGTGAGTTCAATACCCAGTTAAGGCAGTCGTGAACTTGCAGAGGAGAATTAACAAGAGATAACTGATAAATGACATCCATTAGACATGGCACGTGGAACTAGAACAGTCTACCCCAGTGAGCGAAATAAAGGGTTCAGTTCGACATTCCTGAAGAAGACCGGAGTGTACAACGGCCGAAACGTTGTAACAAACATGGCGACAAAAATGAAGATAATAGTCCGAATAATATAAATAGTATATATATATATATATATATATATATATATATATATATATTCAATACTTCATGAGCTAAGGACAATAATCCGAATAATGTAAATAGATTCTTAAAGGTATATGCCAGTAGTTGTGATTTACATTGTTTAAAACAAGGATATGTAGCTTAAACATGGTTATCCACATAAATGTAAATTTTGGGACATTATCTATTTTTCAAGGATTCCTTTTTCAAATGAATGTGTAATCCGACTATTATTTTAATAAAGTTAATGTTTATACGTTATTTTTATACATACACATGTTTAAGTAAATGCTCTTTTTCATAATAAACAGTATTAACATTATTTCTAAATTATTGTTACGTTTGAGAAAAATCATGGGAAATTTGTAGTTTAAAAGCAGTAATTCGACATTAATAAATATGCGCCTTCTCTGTAGATAATTGGTGTGGCACATTAGGCTATACGATGGTTCCGTGAAGGATACAGGTTCGATTTCTGTCGGAGGACACATATAATTTATGAAAATCTTTCTGACATTTCGGTTGGTAAATGTTGTTAATACTTAAATATTTCTATCTATAAAACTATCGTATATATATGTCTATATACTCACATATCATGTGACCTTTGAAGACCTATTTTTTATGCTAATTTGACTACAGTAAATGGATATATACTTTGTTCAACGGCCTAGCCAGGACTAGTTGTACGTAGGCTAATTTTATATCGCATGTATGATACGTCCACTTCAAAATTAGCTCTTCAAATGTCACATAATACGCATATATATATATATATATATATATATATATATATATATTAAACCAATATCTCAATGAATGTGTATATATATATTGATTGAACGAGTCGTTATCAACCTTTTTTAAAAGTTTATTCAAAACCAGAAACATATTTTTGTATTGTAAGAATTATCTGATTCAGATCTTACTATTTAACCTCTAGGATGGGGGAGAAGTGGTAGATTCTTAACTCGACTCTCCGATTTGTCTTTCAGAAGCGTTATTCATTACGCCAATCGCACCTCTATGATTACGCCATCTGTTATTCACGAACGGTCACTCATCTAAGTACTGCCTAGACAGGTATGAACAGTTTGAAAGAAATAGATAGATAGATAGATAGATAGATAGATAGATAGATAGATAGATAGATAGATAGATAGATTGTAATGCCATTTGGTTATCGTAACGTTTACAACAGACCACGTGACGAGATGAAGTTCAGATGAAGTCCAGTGATTGCGACGGAACTGACGTCACCCCAACCCAGATATCTGACGTCGGCTCTTCGGAGTAGTCCAATAAATTCGTCGCATTTCCGAACCAGCCAACACTTCCAGCCCAACACCCCTCGTTTGCCCGCACACTTCTCTACCCTGACGGATCTGGAATACTTTCCCCCGTTGCAGCCATGTTGCTTGGTACCAGCGCCCAGTAATTTCCGTACTGGAATTGGCCGATATCCTTTGCCACTAAGAAACAGATTGATATCTCGCTCGTCCGTTGATATACTGCCGCTGGAAGATCACGTCTCTCCAATACCGTCACTCTTTCTCTCCCTTTGCCCTCATCTTCTTTCTTGCTTTCTTTCTATTTCTTATTTATTTAGTCCAGTATTCTATCTTTTCTTTCTTTCTTTTTTTTTCTTTCTTTTTTTTTTCTTTCTTTTCTTTTTCTTTCTTTCTTTTCTTTTTTTTTCTTTCTTATTTTTCTTTCTTTTCTTTCTTCATAAATAAACTTTTATAGTCTATCCATAACTTATGTTTCTTTCTTTCTTTCTTTCTTTCTTTCTTTCTTTCTTTCTTTCTTTCTTTCTTTCTTTCTTCTTTCGTTTGTTCTTTTTCTTATTTATTTAGTCCAGTATTCTTTCTTTCTTTCCATTTCTTTCTTTCTTTCTTTCTTTCTTTCTTTCTTTCTTTCTTTCTTTCTTTCTTCATAAATAAACTTTATAGTCTATCCATAACTTTTCTTTCTTTCTTTCTTTCTTTCTTTCTTTCTTTCTTTCTTTCTTTCTTTCGTTCCTTCGTTCTTCCGTTCTTTCTTTCTCTCGTTCTTTCTCTCGTTCTTTCTTTCTTTCTTCATAGATTTATTCTATAGTCTATTCATTTCTTCTTCCTATCGTTCTTTCTTTATTTCTTTCTTTCATTCTTTTTTCTTTCGTACTTACTTTCTTTCTATTCCAACCATCTCTATATTCGATTCATTTGTTTCTCTGTTTCTTTGTTTCTTTCTCTGACACATAGTCATATATTCTCTTTTAAATTGTATATCCCTCGCTCTGTTTCTAAAATCTTTTTAGGGTCCTAAATGCTTACTGTCATGCATGCTCTCCAACTCTTTTGGGCGCCAGTTTTCTCTCTCTCTCTCTCTCTCTCTCTCTCTCTCTCTCTCTCTCTCTCTCTCTCTCTCACTCAATTTATTTCGTAGATGCCTACTATCCTTTTTGATTCATTTATCTCTCTTTTTTCTTTCTTTCTTTCTTTTATCTTCTAATTTTTTCTTATTTTTTTCTATTTCTGGGTCTTTTTTTTTTCTGTTATCGTGGTAATTTCTTTCTTTTTTCTTTCTTTCTTTTCTTTCTTTTTTTCTTTCTTTCTCTCTTTTTTTCTTTCTTTCTTTCTTTCTTTCTTTTATCTCCTAATTTTATCTTACTTTCTATTTCTGGGTCTTTCTTTCTTTCTGTTATCTCAGTATTCTTTCTTTCTTTCTTTTTTCTTTCTTTCTCTCAGTCTTTCTTTCTTTCTTTCTTTCTTTTTTCTTTTCTTTTCTTTCTGTCTGTCTGTTTTTCTTTCTTTCTTTTTTATCTCTTTCTTTTTATCTTCCTTTCTATTTCTGGGTCTTTCTTTTCTTTCTGTTATCAGTATTCTTTCTTTTTCTTTTCTTTCTTTCTTTCTTTCTGGAAAAAATTTTCTTTTCTTTCTTTCTTTCTTTCTTTCTTTCTGCCTGTCTTTCTTTTCTTTCTTTTATCTCCTAATTTTATCTTACTTTCTATTTCTGGGTCTTTCTTTCTTTCTGTTATCCCGGTATTCCTTCTTTCTTTCTTTCTTTCTTTCTTTCTTTCTTTCTTTCTTTCTTTCTTTCTTTCTTTCTGTCTGTCTGTCTGTCTGTCTGTCTTTCTTTCTTTCTTTCTTTTATCTCCTAATTTTATCTTACTTTCTATTTCTGTGTCTTTCTTTCTTTCTTTCTGTTATCTCATTATTCTTTCTTTTCTTTCTTTCTTTCTTTCTTTTCTTTCTTTCTTTCTTTCTTTCTTTCTGTTTGTCTGTCTGTCTTTCTTTCTTTCTTTTATCTCCTAATTTATCTTCCTTTCTATTTCTGGGTCTTTCTTTCTTTCTGTTATCTCATTATTCTTTTCTTTCTTTTCTCTTAGTTTCTCTTTGTCTTTTCCTCGTCTAAACACCGTTTCTTTCCCTGTCAGTCTCTTATTTCCGGCTGCACAACATTATCTCTTTTTATTAATCTTTACTACGTTTCTTTCTTTTTTTTATTCTCGTTGCCACACGGGTCTTTCTTTTCCCTTTTTTCTTTCTCTCACGTTGATCATATCCAATGTTTTCCCTTCATTTCACCTCCTCCACTCCCTGCGAATTGATCTCCCTGTTTATCTTTCAGACCCCTGATCTCTCTTCATCATTTGCCAACTTTCATCGCGTACTACATAACCAAAATTACTATCCCTGGTAAAATTCACTACATCTCTCTGTCTTACTTTCTCTCTCTCTCACACAGGCAAAATATCTCTCTCCCTCTCTAGATGGTCTTTGTTTAGTTTTCTATAAAGCATTTTTATCATATTTCGATTTTTCTCTGTCTCAGACTGGCTATTAACGGATCTGAAATAACATTTTTTTCTTTTATTACTACTTTTAATTCTATATATATTTTAACCTCTTTTATCTGCATTTTCTCTCTTTTCTCTTGGCATAGAATTTTCTTCTTTTATGTCCACATAGACTTTTCTATTTCCTATCTCTACATAGAATATTCTCTCTCTCTCTCATATCTACATAGAAATTTCTCTTTTAATCTCTACATAGAATTTTCTCTCTGTTATCTCTACATATAATTTAACCTATTTTATGTTTATATAGAATTATCTCCCTTTTTAACTCTACATAGATTTTTCTCCACTCCTATCTCTACATAGAATATTTCTCTCTCTCTCATATCTACATAGAAAATTTTTTTTAATTTAAAATCTCTGTTTCTCTATTTTCGTTAGAATTTTTTTATCTTTATTTACTCTTATAGATTTTTTCCTTTAAGGGAAATTTTTCTCTCTTTCATATGAAATTTCTTTTTTATCATTATAGAAATATATATAATTTAAACCTTTGCAAATTTTTTAAATTATTTTTTTAACGCTACATAGATTTTTCTCCCTCCTATCTCTACATAGAATATTTCTCTCTCTCTCTCTCTCTCTCTCTCTCTCTCATATCTACATAGAAATTTCTCTTTTAATCTCTACATAGAATTTTCTCTCTGTTATCTCTACATAGAATATTCTCTTTCTCTCTCATATCTACATAGAAATTTCTCTTTTAAACTCTACATAGCATTTTCTCTCTGTTATTTCTACATATAATTAAACCTCTTTTATGTTTATGTAGAATTATCTCCCTTTTTAATTCTACATAGACTTTTCTTCCTCCTATCTCTACATAGAATATTCTCTCTTTACATAGAAATTTCTCTTTTAATCTCTACATAGAATTTTCTCTTCTTTATCTCTACGTACAATTTTCTCCCTCCTATCTCTCTATATAATATTCTCTCTCTTATATCTACGTAGAAATTTCTCTTTTAATCTCTACATAGAATGTTCCCTCTATTATCTCTAGATATAATTTACTATCTACATCTTTATATAGAATGTTCTCTCTACATAGAATATCTCTCTATTTTTTCACTAACTCTAATGGGTTTCATTTCAAAAACCAATCTAAAGAAATAAAGAAATTATGCAAATGTATACTGAAATATATGAAAGGATTAAATAATAATTTTAAATTATATATATTAGATAATTTTAAAATACTAAATAAGAATCGCTCAAACAAAAATCGTAAATATAAACGAGACAAAAGTATTAGTAATTGGTAAAGAGAGGTGGGTTTCCTTCTATCCATTACTACCAATAATAGCCTAGTGGGACCTGTGCATTACAAAGGGATGGTGTGATGCACATGAAATCTGAAACTGATATTCAGTCTGTTTCAATCTCTTTCTCTCTTTACCTTTCTCTCTCTCTCTGTCTGTCTGTCTGTCTTCTGAATTTCTCTCTCTCTCTCTCTCTCTCTCTCTCTCTCTATATAAAATATATATATATATATATATATATATATATATATATATATCTTCGTCGAAGGGGGTTTGGATAGTGACTCGGATTGAGAGCCGAGTTCGGATCCAGTTCAATTTAAAAGAAATTCACTTTTACGTGCTAATACTCTTCGGAAAGGTGTGAATCTTGAATTTTTCCTCCAGCTATGGGTAAAATAATAAGGACAGACTGGGTTCTATAGCCTTGGATGGCAAGTGGTCTAGGAGAAGGACAACTCTGAATTCAAAACCTTGAAGGGTCGTTTTGGACCTTTGGCACATAATGCACCAGTTTGTCTGTATTCTGTTATTAATAGTGTGGTTGGTTCTGCACAAAACCTTAACCACTATAATCAAATTCATTAAAAGTTAAATTCATTCCTAATATATATATATATATATATATATATATATATATATATATATATATATATATATATATAAATCAGTTTAATTTATAATATTTATGCTCTGTTTTTTTAAATTTACATTGAGGACATTTTGTAAAAAATTATATCAATGAGAACACCGGATTATATATCTTACTGTTCTTTCTTTTTCATATATATATATATATATATATATATATATATATATATATATATATAGCTGAATGGGTAAATATAGAAAGACATACATTGTCGAGCGGTTATTATATAATAATAGTTATAAATACTTTATAGTTTTAAATAAAAAACAGTGCTGAATGTTAAGTAACAAAGCAATTTAAAATATATATACTTGTTGTGCAATTAACGTAAGATATTATATATATATATATATATATATATATATATATATATATATATATATATATATATATCAATTGAATGTCTATTTAGTCAGCAATT